GTGAAAATATAATGCATTAGTGCTTCGATTTAGAATATTTAGATGCAATTAAAAACAAGAATAAAATAGTTATTATTCTATCAATTTTGAAAACTTATTGATCTATAGACAATTTTTAAACAAATCGTCTTAATTAAACACTTTCACTTTGATTTTTAGACATTCATCAAAATCGTTTATTTAAATCTTACGCTAAATATAAAATATTTTGCTCACGCTGATATAAAATGAACTTTATAAGTCGTATTGTACATCGTAAATTTCATAWGCAATTGCGGAACATGCCGTCGATTATCATATGAGAGGGAGCCCCAATTAACGTTGTTTCAAGTATATCTATTTTTTCGATAAAAAATAATCGAATGAGGTAGAGGAAGTGAGAAACTCCCATTTAACTTATACATGCATCGGAAAATTACCTCTCTGGGGGTCATATATTGCATAGTTGTGTTACCATCCTACCAGTACCGGGAAGTTTATATACTATACAGTACTCTTTCAAGTATACACTATACATATAGCAATAGCCGAAGAGAATTAATCGTAAATTATTTTTGGATACTACATGTTTTTCATAATGTTATGAATGTTATGATTGTTATGATGCTCGTACAGTATAACGATAGGATATGGTATATACATATATATATGAATTTTGATAACTCTAGAATAAATTACCGTAGACGCATACAATTTTTCAATGAATGTTTATGCTGACATTTTTTGTACTCAATAAAATTTTCAAAATATTTCAAATCTTTTAAAGTTATTTATAGACATTTGAAATTTTCAATATTTTTAGTTTTTTTTATATTAATGACAGTAAAATGTCATCCTTTAGATAAAAAAAGCTTCAAAATTTAATACAAGGTTCTTAAGTACCTACTAATTTATTGTTACTATGACAATTGAATATAAAGTCACAATTTTTTTATGTATCTTTTAAAATCTAAGATTTGAAAATTCAATGCAAGATTCTTCATTAGTTTGTATATATTTATCAAATAAAAAATRTCTACCGGAATGCCAAATTAAATTTTTATATGAGCATTTAAATTACAACATTGGATATTCACTCAATTTCTGTGGTACCGATATTCTTATTTTGTTGTTATCCAAAAACTAATAACTGTAGAAACTTACAATTTACACAAAATGTTTATTTTATCAATTCCTATACTTGATAAAGTTTTTAAAATATTTCAACATTYTTTAAGTTATTTAATAACATTTGAAATTTTCGGTTCTTTTAGTTTTTTATTTTATAGATGTCAATTAAATGTTATTMATTGGGTCAAAAAATTTGAAAATATAATACAAATTCCCCATAAGTTTATATAATAGCATTTAGAAAATATTAAAAATACATAAGCACGTTTTTTTTTAAAAGCTATTTAAAGATAAAATGTATTGAATTGATAATTTGCGAATTCCTTAGTTGTTAAAAATGTATAAAACGTTTAACTTTTAAAGCTAAAAATTGAAAATTAAAATCAAAGTTACATGTAAGTAGTTAATTCTGCGGCAAAAAAAAAAATCTAAAAGCTACATAAACACAGTTTTTTTTATAGTTATTTTAAATTCAAATTCGGATGAAATTACATATTATGTTTTAAATAACCAAGAATGACGAATCTGATTTGATTAATTTGGAATTTATTTTATAGATACCTACATTTTTTTTTTGAAATAATAGCAATATAATTAATATAGTATAAAACTATAAAATATTCTAGACAAACCATCTTCGCTCAGAATCGTTTTTCATATACAATGATATTATATTATCATTGAATTCAAATTTAATACCATCCATTACAGTAATCTTTTTATAAACTACTTTACAGCAGAGTGATATCCACTTACCCGCTTTTTTATAAATGAATATATATGGAGGTGTGGAGTAACTTTTCTGTGATTTACTTTTAATGTAATACTTTATATCAGGTGAGGTCTATAAAATACCCCCCCCCTTCAACATTACAGTACAGTAGCACCACTGGGTAACTGTATCTATATTAAAATGTATACAAATATAAAACAAAATACATGCATATGTGCTTTTTACTTTTTTAGAATACTATTATTTTGATCATAACATTTTCCTTAAACTTAGAGAAAGTAATGAGAAAATTGAAAAAAAAAAATCCACCAATAAGTATTCGATTTCTAATCACTATACCTCATATATCATATGATCATTTTATATCTAACACAAACCAGAGACCAGTTAAATAGAAAATATAACAATAATGAAAAAAAAAATGATATAAAATTCATCACTACTGTATATGAAACATTAAAACTTATAAAATCGGTGTGGTAAAATTAAATATTATTATTGTATAGCTCCCTCTCTAATATATTGCATGCTCTAGTTATTATTTTAATATACGTACCTACTATTATACCTACCTTAAACCATAGGCATGAGTAATTACTAATAAATTACTGCAGTAAATGTGTACCGGTAGGTTATGTTATATTATATCGTTAAGTATAATATCTATATCGAAATAACGTACATTTTTTCCACACTACTTTCTATAACAATATATCTAGATAGAATATAGATTATTATAGGCGTTGTATAATAATTTTAGTTTAATACTATTATCGTTCATAATATTTTAAATGACCTACTGAAGCTATATAGCCTATAAATAAGAAATTATGTAGGTATAATAGGTATATAGGTAGCTGTTTGAACAAAGTTTCCGAACSTATAGGTATACACTATAACTGTTTTTAAGTGTGTTCACAATAGTCGCATTATAAAAATATATCATTGTGATTTGTGGTTACCTTTATGACTTTTTCGAGTAACGRCACCACAGTCTTGGAAATCACTGTTATGTATGTTACGTATGTAAGYTAAATCCAAGTTTCCACTAAATCATGCCATGGCGGCATGACGTCGTATTATAGAGTTAAATATTATATTATTATATAAGCAGTTATAGTAGCAAAAGTAGACTGTAGGACAGTTGTTCTGTGATACTAGTTAATACGTTGGCTATACGTATTATAATATTAAGTACAAGAAACATGTCATGAAATTATGTAGGCATTGAAAACCAGGATTARGGCTATGCGTCTTATTTGTGCAACTAATAACTTAATACCTAAGTACGGGGCCGGATTGGGCCGGCGTGCGATTGAGCAAAACTCGAAGGGCCGCTATACTTTATTTTTGAAATGGGCTGATGGTATTATAGTTTTAATAGTGTAATATTTGATATAGCGATGTCATTTATCAGTTGCCGAGTTGAGACAACTATAGTAGTATAAATATAATATTGTATTAATTGTCGTTTACACTGTGAACCTAAGCAGTTTAGTCGTTTAATAGCTTTGACTTTTATGTTTTATTGATAACATTTATCATAGTTTCCGTTATTAATAAGGAATACTATAGACCTCGACATATACTATACTAAACAGGAATTAAGTGTTAAGTATAACAACAGTATTACAACAGGTTAACCTAACATCAAAATTGTACAACAAAGTCTGTTTGTAAGAACTGTATTATTTGCTGCTTTTTATTATTAAGAAAATATAATTTACATTCGAYGGCATCATTCTCTAATTTGTTTCTGGCATACAAGTTTGTTTTAACTTTATCATGCTCATGCACCTAAGTTCGTTGTGAAACATATTTTTCTAAATTAAAATATATTTTAAACAGATTGCGTAATAGTTTATCTCAATTAATTAGAAACATTTTTATTGATGAATATAGAAAAACATATTCTAGCTGACGTAAGAAACGAAGAAGTCATACAATTAATTACCGGAAAAAGTGATTTATTAGAAAAAACTTTGATTGGTTGAATGTCAGTAAAAATATATATATATTAATATACTTCTATAATTCTATGTTCATCAGTAGATAAATAATGTAAAAAAATGTATTAATAACTATGTTGACCCTAATAATAACCCTAAAATAAATTAAAGTTTTACCAAAACATTGTTGTTTAATTTTTGTTTTCCAATTTTATCAATCACATTTACTACAAACTTGACGTCCAAAATGTTGGACTACTAACCTATTATTTCAACTTAAAATGTATTGGAGTGGGTATTGTTGTGTTTTTTTAGCATCTCAAAAGCTTCATGAAAAAAAAATTGAGAACCGCTGTTCTACATAATCTAACAACAAAGTAAGTAACTTTGTTTTTCATTTTTTTTTTTGTGGGAGGGGGAGTATTCGGGTATCTGGTCTTCGGGCCGGTTGAATGTGAAGCTCGGTTGACTTTAATACCCAATCCGGCCCTGCCTAAGTATAGAGGTATAGTATGGGTAATGATAATGAATATACATATTATCTTACTTCCTCACTAAAAGAGTTTTTTACAATTATTTAAAAGGTCGCACACCTACATATATTATTTATTACCATGAACTAAAATGAAACCTATATCACAGTGGGTTTCACCTGACTATTCTAAGAATTGTTTAGCGCCCTTTAGCTTCTCCAACATTGTAAAGCGCCTACCATTGTTACCAAAGAATATTAAATGTACAAATACCTATATATTGCACAATTCTGTTAGTAACGCAATCAAGAATTTATTGATGGGCTGAAAAGTCCGTAATATTTATTTTATATAATAATACACTATTTTTCACACGTATATCGTATATTGTAAAATATATTATTTTTTACAACTGGCATTAACACCTGCAATGACTAATTAATGTAATCACTTAGTTTGAAGAGAAGTATAGGAGAGTTCAAGTCCAGAAACCTCCACCCCTAGCAATATAACATGAAATATATGTGTTTGATTTATCATAATATATTCTTATCATAATTTTGTATTGTAAACATTAGGTTACTATTGGCTACTAGCCACTAGGGTCTAGGAATCTAGGAAATAAATTAATCTACTATAATAAATGTCGCATAAATACGTATATATTATGTTGTATAATTTTTATATAATATATATTGTACATTTTTACATTTATAAAAGTTATTATAAGCTGCAATAAAGAAATAGTTATTGAGTATACCTATAGATTATAGACATAGATGATATAGCTTATACTTGATTATATACCTATAAACACACCTAATTAATCACATTTCTTTTTTAACAAATACACATTGTAAATTATATAATAGAAAACATTACAATTTATTACTATCTACACATATTATAATTAAAATTATAAAATATATTTTTAGATTCAGAAATCGTAGTAGACCATACAATATTATATTGTTCGGTTGTAAAATCATTCAGTCATTTAACCATACAATAGTATACGTTAATATTTCAACTATACTAGTGGTATAATCTATTATTATAAAAAAGTATGTAAAAATAAGGATATTTAAAATGCAATTCTGTCTTTGATTTAAGGTCAAAGTATTATCACGATCGGAGACTAACGTAAGCATTGAATTCTCCAGGTGAAGGAGTTACTCCGTCAACTCCTAAAGTGCTTGGCGGTTCTTGACCATCGGGTACTGAGAAATTAAAGTTTTGTAATAAGCATGCAGAGAATAAAAATATATTTGATCTAGCGAGCGTTTGTCCCATACAACGATGTTTACCTAAAAAAAAATACCACAATTAATTTTAATATAACATATTTGTATTTGGGCTTAAACGCATAATAGCAACTATTACCGTATCCGAATGGCAAGTATTCGTCTGGAACAATTAATTTTCCATCGCAACCAATGAATCTTTCTGGCTCAAATCTCTCTGGATTATCCCATACGTCATCGTCATTAAGTAATGCTGCAAAATTAGCAATCACCATTGTATCCTAATAAAAATATATATATATAAACGTATAATATTATTACATCTGATTTATTTGGTTTACATTTATATTTGTTTATCATACTTTAGGAATATAATAACCCTGCAATGTCGTATCCTTCAGAGCTCTATGTGGGATGCTGAAAGTTCGGCCCATAAATACTCTGACTGATTCCAAAACGAGGGCCTCTAGATAGGGCATACTAAAACAAAGACATTATGCATGTTAGTATATTTATGTTATGAAGAACAAATTAAAACAAACATAATTATAGTTATTAAGATAAATTATAATCTAACTACAACTATGTATGTACTTAGGCCTATCGTTTAAAGTAGGAAGTCGGTCTCGACCAACCACTCTATCGATTTCCTCTTGAGCCTTCTTCTGAACTTCTGGGTTTAGAAGTAAGTACAGGAAACCGAATCCTAAAGATTTGCTGGTAGTCTCTGATCCAGCCATAAACATATCCATACAGATAGCTAAGAGCTGAGATTCTGAAAATATTAACGCAAACAATACAAACGTCAGTATATACAATGTAACCATGTAAGTACCTGAATAACTTTCTTTTTTGTCTTCTGAATGTAGCATTTGTAAATAGACATCCATCAAATCTCTTGGTTGGTTTAAAATAAACGTTTCCTTATGACCATCGAGTTCTGCTTTGAGGAATTTCCATACTTGTTGATGGATATTGACAAAAGATTTATATCCAGATGCTTCAGGTGCAATAAATCTTAAAAACGGGAATTGACTAAACAAAGCACCTACCATATCGATATTAGCAAAAAGTTCAGTTAACAAAGCTTGTAGATTTTTTAGTTCGATGTCATCTGCATTGTATCTTTTGCTGGCCATCATTGACCATAATGTGTTCAAGACTCCTACACTGAAAGCATCTCTCATTTCAAACACTTCACCTTTCCCATTTTTAGACTTGTTGATTTTTTCTTTAAAATCCTCGACTAACTGAACGGCTTCTTCTTGTACAAGTTCAGCCATTGTTCTTTTTCCAAAACCGAATTCTCGTAAATGACGCAATACAAATCTTCGTTGTTCTACCCAGAATTCTTCGTCAGTCAATAGAAGACCTGAAATAGTGACAATTTGTAAAGTGATACATTTTTAAAACACCAAATTATTCATCTTTATATATATATTATATATATTACTCAAACAAATTATTTACCATATTCGACTACATACATAGTAAAAGGAATATATATATATATATATCTACCACTAGAAAAATACTGTTGAATAGTTGCAATAAAATAATAATWATATCAATAAAATCATTTTTCATTATGTTGACCTTAGGTTAGATGTATATATGAAAATTAAAATACGCTAGTGGCGGCATCTGTCCATTTTTAAATATTTAAAAAAAGTTGTTTTTGGCCAGGTAACTAATTTATATAGTTATTTATTGTTTGTAATTCAAAAGGAAATATCCGTAGGTTATAACTGATATATAATATGGTCTCTATAAATGAAATACGAAAATACAAGTTTTTTCTATATAAAACGTTCATACGAATAAAAGGCTTAGAAGCATACACGCTGATATCGAACTGTGTGACCGCTAAGAAATTACAATATTTTATAATTAAAAAGTGTTTTTTATCAATGGGYGGTACTAGTGTTTATAGTTATACCTCTTCGTGTTCCCCATGTTCTAGTCTCATAAAATGGCCCTTGTGGTCGTCCATCGAATTCTTCTTTTGTCAACATTTCTTTGATTGCATTATATCCGCAGCAAACCACTTGTCTATCTTTTCCGACTTTCAGACCAACAATTGGTCCATACGATTCCGCTAGACAAATAGTAGCACGATACAAATACCCGGTTTGTTTCCTAAGCGAATTAACAGTAAGGGCACTTCCCAAAACCGGTAACCATTTTGGACCTAAACCAAACATGTTTGTAATTTGTCAAATATACATGAATAATAATATAGTATAATGTAGGCGAATAAGATCATTGCAATTACCTGGTGGATAGTTTTTTGGTTTTCTCATGTCCAAATATGACAGAAGTGCTACCACGACACTGAATAGTACTAGTACTAGTATCCACATYCTGTGTACATAAATATATGTAATCAATGATGTAATAGCAGTATAGTTATTTTATTATTTAACAAAATGCACGTGTAAAGTTTGACCGTGAAAAAATACCGACAAGTAAAATATTGACGACCTCAATAGTTGATAGTATTATGTACCTATATAACGATTATGCATGTCAATTAATGTGTTGTATAAGAATAAGGTATACGGCAGGTGATGGAATTTAAATTGCCTAGTACTTTCGCTCGTCGGAAGCGAACAGAACCGGTYATTCACTTTCCTTTTCCTATATTCTCTTACAAGATTTAAAACTGGTCTGCCCGTAAATATTGTGTAATGCCAACATTACATCATATTCAGTTTAAATCTTCTACAGCAGTAGTCCTACCTAAAATTTTTTTGTATTCATTGACTTCCCGATTTAAATTTGATTTTGTACAAAAAGTTATCCCACTKAAATACAAATTACTTTTTAGATTGTTTCGGATTTTTTTCGAATATATAATAATATAATATTTATATATTTAATATGCGATTATATAATGAAAACTATATTGTGGCCCATATTGTATTATTG